CTTCCCCACTCCTCAAGCCCTACCCGGGGCTTATCACTCATCCCTCCAACTCTGCAGTTGGTCCAAATTGGCATCCTCAGCCACAAACATTAATGGAGCACCTATTATGTGCCGGGCCCTGGGGAAATAAATATGAGTAAGATTTGATCTTGTTCGAAGTTCCTTATGTGGGAGTTTTTCAAACTACAGTTGTCTTGGTGAATCTCTGTGATTCTGGTTCGGTAGGATTGGACTGGAACCAAGCCATCTGCCCTTTTCGATAAGTACTTCTGCAATTCTGATGCCCAGTCTTGGTGAAGAATCCCAGGCTCACGAGCAGGTGTAGTCACTGCCTCTTTCCTCCAACTCCCATTGCCCTCCAGTTCTTCGTCCTCTCCGTAGGCTCTCCTTCAAACCCAAGCAGGTGGGTGGGGTGGGTGGCTGCGATGCAGAGGACACCTGTTTACTCTTGGGACCGAGGGTGGACAAATTGGCATAAGTATATAACAGGAAGGGCAAGGGCTTCCCTGGTGGCGCAGTGGTTGAGAGTCCGCCTGCCGATGCAGGGCACACGGGTTCGTGCCCCGGTCCGGGAAGATCCCACGTGCCGCAGAGCGGCTGGGCCCGTGAGCCGTGGCCGCTGAGCCTGCGCGTCCGGAGCCTGTGCTCCGCAACGGGAGAGGCCACAGGGGTGAGAGGCCCTCGTACCGCAAAACAAACAAACAAAAAACTAAGGGCAAGGTGAGCCTCTTAATCACAGTAAGAGTTGGCCAACAGTCTGTCCTGTGAAGTAATGAGCTTTCTATTGTGGGGAGCCTCGGGCCACCTCCCTGAGCTGCTGCAGGCAAAGCCCTTCTCTGGGTGGGCTTGAATGCCACCGCTCAGCTCTGGTCCGGGGAAGAGGAAGCCATTCTGTTTCTTCTTTTCACATCTGTTCCCATCCCATTTCATCTTCTGAATTCTTAATGGCTCATGCTGTGTCTGTCAGAGATGCTCATACACTCAGGACCCACCTGCTGAA